TGAACCCCAAATTCTGGTCACTAGCAACTCTGATCTTCCTTTCTTTCATCGATGCAACTGATCCCTTTGAACCCCATGTCTGCCCAACTTCTGACCTCCAACCCGATGGCTCTTGAAATTGACCTCTGACCCCTGATCCCACCTTCCACTACAGAAGACCAGACACTCCAGCTCACCCTGAGCTTTGACTCCCAGCACCCAACCTTTGACCCTGAACTGAACCCGAAGCTTTTGGTTTGCTGCTGCAGCTGACCAACCTCTGACCCAACATGAGTCCCCTTGCCTGCCTTCTCCTCGCCACCTCAGGTATATGTTCGAAGCACCGACTTTGACCGCACGCTGGAGAGCGCTCAGGCCAACCTGGCCGGGCTATTTCCCGAGGCTGCCCCAGGGCGCCCAGAGGCTGCTTGGAGGCCCATTCCTGTGCACACGGTGCCGGTGACCGAGGACAAGGTCAGGGGGCTGGACAGGTGCAGGGGGTGAGAGGCTTGAGGGAGACAGAGCCCTGGAGGTGGGGGAAGCCAGTGACTGAGAGCAAGTGAGACCCTCCCCGCGCAGAGCTATCTGGGCAGGGTGAGCCACCATCCCCATGCTGTACAGCCACGTTGGGGGGGTACCATGTACTTTGAAGAGAGAGATCTGGACAAGGAGGGCTTCAGAGCCCCATCTCCTCATGTGCTGTGACTGTGGGGTCCCAGTCATGCTGTCCCCTCTGAGCCTCAGTTTTCCCCAGCTGCTGAGGTTCCCCACACGCAGCTGTCCTCGATACCATGAGCTGCTGAGAGAGGCCACGGAAGCTACGGAGTACCAGACTGCCCTGGAGGGCTGGACAGTGAGCGGGGCCGTGGGGCAGGCCGGGGTAGGGAAGGGTGTGGGGTGAGTGGGTGCGTGGGCATGGGGGGTGCGACAGGGATGGGCGAGGAGTCCCAGCAGACTCATCCAGCCCGGTGCATGCAGGACTTCCTGACTCACCTTGAGAACTACACGGGGCTGTCATTGGTCGGAGAGCCACTCCGCAGGGCGTGGAAGGTTCTGGACACGCTGATGTGCCAGGTGAGCCCACCGCCCCACCCCCCAGCCCAATGATTAAGGGCACTGAGATTCAAATCCCAGCTTTGCTGCTTACTACCTGCGTTCCCTCAAGCGAGTACTTAAACCTTGGTGCCTGTTTGCCCATCTGCACAGTGGAGATGACAACACCCTTATCAGCACCCCTTGGGGTTTCTGTGAGGATCACAACAGGTCAACCCACAGGCTATGCTTAGGATAGTGCCCGGCACACAGTGAGGCCTGCAGGGAGGCTTGAGGCTCCATGTTTGCAGTTTCTCCTGGTCTCTTGGGGGGAAGCTCCCAGAACCAAAATTTGAGCAGCAGGAGCTGACGTGAATGGGCATGATGCTCTTCAGATAGTCTTTGCTTACCCCATTCTGTGAAAATTATCCTACTTGCACAGTGGGAATAGCAAGGTGTGCAATTAAGGGGGCTGCTCAGCCCCCGCTTGGATGTGTTCTGAGGGAGATGGTGTTGCCACCATGGGGCCCTTCTAGATTCCAAAGCATCTGAAGCTTGAAACACCTCTGGCTCCGTGCGTGGAGGCTCCTGGGCTGTGGGGTGATGGTCATTATTGTTAATTAATGATTGCTATTGGCCATAAATTCCTAAGCTCGGTGCTTCCAGACCGAGCACATGAGGGTTTCGGGGGAAGGGTAGGAGAGAGGACTGCAGCTAAGGCGGACAGCGCAGGCCCGGGGTGTGTGAGGGGAGCTCGGGATGTCCTGGTCACTTTGTCTTCTCTGTCTCTCTCCAGCAAGCCCATGGTCTTCCCCTCCCCTCCTGGGCCTCCCCGAATGTCCTCCGGACCCTAGCCCAGATCTCAGCTTTGGATATTGGGGCCCACGTGGGTCCACCCCGAGCAGCTGAGAAGGCCCAGCTGACAGGGGGTGAGATGTGGGACTGGGAGGTTGGGAGGCCAAAGCACTTTCCTCTGGGGGATTTTCAGCACTCTGTTCTTGCCCTCTCAGGGATCCTGCTGGATGCCATTCTTGCCAACTTCTCTCGGGTCCAGCGCCTGGCACTGCCCCTCAAGATGGTTATGTACTCAGCTGTGAGTCTTTGGGAAGGGAGGCAGTGCCTCTGGGCACAGGGATGAGGGGGATGGCAGATAGCAATGTGGGTGAGGAAGAGCTGGTGGGATGGTCTCAATGGAACTTCAGCCCACTGCCTTGGGTAACTGATATCTCCAAACCATACTCTCAGACCATACACTAGAGGTACACAGTCTGAAAGGAGGGAAGTGATGGGGTTGTAAGATAATTTAGCTCTTCTGGAAGGACAAGCTGTTTAATCAAGCTGCCCCATCACATTTTTGCATCTATCTGACCAATGTTCATTAAATGATTCCCTGTAACTGGTGGGACTGCCTCCAGGGTGAGTCGATTTGGGAGGTGGGTTGGTCCTAAGAGATCGGGGGGACATCTGGGAGGCAGCTGGATGCACAAGTCTAGAGATCAGGAGAGAGGAGACATCAGAGAGGAGCCCTGTCTCAGCCCTGGGATCCACTTGCAGCACGACAGCACTCTGCTGGCCCTCCAGGGAGCCCTGGGTCTCTATGACGGGCACACCCCACCGTATGCTGCCTGCCTTGGCTTTGAATTCCGGAGGCGCCTTGGGGACCCGGACGAAGATGCAGGGTAAGGAGGGCGTGGCGCCTGGGAATGGGCAGGACAGAACTGTCTCAAGAAGAGAGATCCGGTTCCAGGTGGAGGGGGATTTGTGCAGGATGGCAGGAAGTTGACAGGTGAGGAGGCAGGAGCCCAGTGTCTCCGTTTGGCTACTCTTTCAGGTTTAGATCAGTGGTGGGGAAGGTAAGGAGGGGCCTGGGTGTTACCACTTCCTGTCTCCCTCCAGGAATATCACCATCTCTCTTTTCTACCGAAACGACTCCACCGGCCTGCCCCTGCCCCTCAGCCTTCCCGGGTGCCCAGGCGCCTGCCCACTAGGCCGCTTCCGCCAGCTCACCGCCCCGGCCCGGCCTCCGGCTCATGGGGTCCCCTGCCATGGGGCCCATGAGCCTGCCACCCCTGCAGGTGACGGCCATTGGCGTTGGGATGGGAGCGTGGGGGGACCCCAGTCCCAAGACTCACACTCCCATGTTCTCCTCACAGCCACTGTGGTGCCCCTGCTGGCTGGGGCAGTGGCAGTGCTGGCAGCACTCAGCATGGTGCTGGGCCTGCTGGCCTGGAGACCCAGCTGCCTGCGGGCCTTGGGAGGCCCCGTGTGAGCTGGGAAACCAGGCACCCCCTCTCCCACAGCTGGCATTGCATTCCAACACGTCTGCTCACCTGCTGCTTTGGCTTCCGAGACTTACTGTGTGCGCCCATTTCTGTGGGAAATGTGGGGAGGGCTCCCTGTCCTGGAAGTGGCAAGCAGTTGTGTGCACACACGTGTGTAGGCCTGCATTAAGGACACTTTGCACATGTGGCCCATGTGTTTACATTTGTACAGACTAGTGTCAACGTTTCTGCATTTACATATGGGTACATGCAGGGTGCCTATACATTAGCACACATACACACACATCCATGTGACACATTTCCATGTACACACGTGCATGGGGTAGGAGTGCAGTCCCTATTGGTAAGTGAAGGGGTGTCTGATGTGTTTGGGGGTCTGTACTCACGCACGACTTTTATCCACGCAGAGTAGCACACAGTATGTCAGCACATGTGATGCGTGCACCTCCTCAGTTAGCCCCCGTGGGGCACACTCTATGGTGACCCAGCCTGAGAGTCAGGACAGCAGGGCTGTGGTGACCCTTGCTAGCCCTCAATGCTGTAAGGACTGGTGGCACCTTACTGACCATCCTCTGGGGGCAGGGGGTAGGTCAGGCCAGCTTTGTAGTGAGAGCTCACAAGAGCAGGGCCCAGAGCCACAGGCAAGGTGGAGGCCATGACTCAAGTGACCCACCTCTATGCTTCCCGCATTTGGCAGAGCCAGGACTAATTCATCAGACCCAGCAACCCTGGCTGTTAATCTCCTGGAAGCCAGCGGAGCAGGTGGGGCTCAGTGCTGCTCAGTGCAGCACAGGCCATTATGGGTTTGGACTCACTTGGGTGCTATCTGCTGCAATACCCAATGGCTGCCATGTGGCTATTTGAATAACATGGAAAATTCAGATCTCAGCTGCACTGGCCACAATTCAAAGACTGGCTACGTGTGGCTGGTGGCTGCCCTACTGGTCAGACAGTACAGTCAGGGTTCCTATCATCCCAAGCACAGAGCAGGACAGTGCTCAAGATTAAGAAAAGCTATTGCACACCTACTAATAAAGCCAGCAGGCACTGAGGCCAAATCTGGGGTACCAGCCCTGTCCCTGGGCACATCCCAAAGCATGACACCAAGGGTCATACCGGTCATTGGGTCTGTGTGGACACTGTTCTATCAGTGAGGAGCCTGGAGTGCAGCAGGTGCCCATTAGATGGAACAGTTGAGAGGTGGTCAGAGGTGAGGTGGGGGCTTATAGCCAATAGCTACTCCTAACCACCAGGACCCCAAATATCCTTCTGGAGGGAGTAAGGTGCAAGGCTCCTTGGAATGGGTGGTGGAAATGGCTGGGGTGGGGTTGGACTGGGGCCAGCAGCCGTCTTAACAGCTTAGAAAGGCTTGCAACTTCCCTCCTTGATATCACCTCTGGTTAGGGGGCAGGGTCTCAGAAATTCATAGGGCCCTGCCCATCATTGCCCCTGCAGGTATGGAGTGATCACAGGGCCTCAGAACGCCTCCATGCACTTCTGGGTGGAGGGGCATCATTCCCAAAAGTTCTAGTTGTGAGCGGCCCAAGTAGGAGCTCAGCCTTCCCAGCATGCTGGAATGGCCCAGGCAGAGATGGTGGCTTCCCTGAGGCCGCTGTGCATGATCCTTACCTTCACCCTGGAGGGCTCTGGATTCAGATTCACACCAGGACGACAAACCCCAGTCAGACACCACAGTCCACACACAGCAATGCTCACGCTTTTTAATTAGTGCAATGTGCCTAGCATGGCCTGCCATGGTGGCCATCTGTCATGAACCTGATTCTTGATGCTGACACTTTTAACCCAGTTGTGACAGACACTGGCTGGTCAGAGGTCACACATCCACTTAGAGAAATCAGATGGGGCTGGTTGCCCCCTCTCCAGGTGGGCAAACAGCAAAAGTCCACTTTAAAAGGGAAAGGAGGGGGATCCCTGGGTGGCGCAGCGGTTTGGCGCCTGCCTTTGGCCCAGGGCGCGATCCTGGAGGCCCGGGATCGAATCCCACATTGGGCTCCCGGTGCATGGAGCCTGCTTCTCCCTCTGCCTGTGTCTCTGCCTCTCTCTCTCTGTGACTATCATAAATAAAAAAAAAAAACAAAAACAAAACAAAAAAAAAAAAAAAAAGGGAAAGGAGGGATCCCTGGGTGGTGCAGTGGTTTGGTGCCTGCCTTTGGCCCAGGGCGCGATCCTGGAGACCCGGGATCGAATCCCACGTCGGGCTCCTGGTGCATGGAGCCTGCTTCTCCCTCTGCCTATGTCTCTGCCTCTCTCTTTCTTTCACTGTGTGCCTATCATAAATAAATAAAATTAAAAAAAAAATTAAAAAAAAAAAAGGGAAAGGAATCGGAAAAAAAAGTCTTAAGAGAAACGCCATTCCAAGAGAACAAAGCATCCGTTAAAACCAAAGTGTTGCATATGCTTAAATTATTAGATAAAAACACTGCATTTAAAAATACCTTAAGAAAAAGGGTGCAAATTTCAAGGTGCTTTCATGTCATGGGCTGTGGGGTCTCCCCACTTGGCCTGTAGTGCTTTGGGGGCCCGTGTGGCAGAGGGCTGGGTGCCCACCCTGTGTGCCAATTAATCAGGCTGAAATTGAAATGTACCAGACCTCAACAGAGCAGGTGAGCAGGTTGTGCCCTGGGGAAATAAGGCACCCAGCCCAGGGCCACCAGCTAGCTTGCTGGCCTCCAATGCTCTGGCTGGAGACACCTATAGGGTGGCCAGGAGGCAAGAACATTCTTTTCTTCTGGGAACCTCAAATACAGTAATGGGGCGGTTTGCCCCAGGGAAGCTGGAGAACAGGCAGATGGGCCAGTCCTCAGTCCATGCTGCGGGTGCTTGGGAGGCACTGGCTCAGACTGTGTCTCCCCTGGAATTGAACCATCTGGAAGACCAGGCCTGGGAGGCCTAGTCATGACATACGGGCACAGGTGGTTCCTCCCCACAGGCCTGGTCTGAGTAGGGTGGTGGTGGGGGCTGCTCCTCCCCCAGCATGTAGGCAGGGTGGCTGCGGCTGCGCTTGGCCTCTTTAATATACAGCTCCAGAAGGACCTTGGTGGGCTGCTTGTCCACCCTCTCCTTGGGCACGCCATGGCTCAGCAGCCAGCCCATGAGATCTTTGCGTGTTGGGTTGGGCCCCAACATGAGCTTGGCTCGGCCTGGCTGGCTCTGGCGCCAGAGCAGGCCCACATCGGCGATGGTCTGGATCTCCATCACCGCCTCCAGCACAGTCATGCCCTTGACCAGCAGGCTGACCAGTGAGAGCCGCAGCTCAGAGGGTGCAGCTGTCAGCAGGCGCCGCTGGAGGCCCTGTGTGAAGGGCACATCCTCGGGCGCAGGCCTGGGCCCCTGATATGCTGCAGGAGGGGACGGTGGCTCACGGTAGATCCAGTCAAGCATGCCCAGCTCCCTCACTAGCTGGATGCCCTCCTCCATGGTGGTCCAGGGGCGGAAGGGCAGCTCGGTGGCCTCGAAGTGCAGGAAGGATTCCCAGCGCTGGCGCCAGGCCAGCAGCAGCCAGGTGAGCAGCGTCTTGCAGCCACCCCGCAGGGTCTTACAGCGGTAGTTGAAGATGGCATCGCTGGTCAGGTCACCCAGCAGGGCCAGCTCTCCAGAATTCAGGGACAGGGCTGGGCCTCCCTGGTCATACACCCGCAGGATCCAGGTGATCATGAGCTCATTGGGGTTCTGCTTGAAGCGCCGCGAGATGGCCAGGAGCTCGGTGTATGTGTAGTAACGGTCCCCCCGCCCTATCTGGGTAGGCGCCAGGGCTCTCTCGGCCATCATCACAGCTGTCCCCTGCAGGGAACTGTAGGAAGCCCGGAGGGGTGTGGCCACAGGAGCTTCAGGGAAAGACAGAAGTCATCAGGTGGGAAAACAGCTACCCCCCCCTAGAACTCCCCGCCAGAGTGGGGGGCCCCTCAGATCCCCAGGTGTCAAAGGTCCTGGGGGGCACTGTGTCCTCAGGGGAGGTCAGAGCCCAGTGCTGGACATCATGGGGGTCCCAAGCACAGCCCCTTCAGAAGCCGTGACAGTGAGCATTACTGCGACCTCTGCAGTAACCAACTCTTCTTGCCACCCCCTCTTCCTAGGGATACTGTGAGAAGTCAATTTAGTGCTTGGCACTAGGCCCAGCTCTGAGTAAATGCTCAGCATTTGCTTTTATAGTACCATAACCTACAGATTTTATGATAAATTTATTATTATTATGGTATTGAGAGCAAAGCCTTTCCTGTTCTTACCAAGGACAGGAACGGTGGGGGCCTGTGACTCCTGGGAGAACCACCTGCAGACAGGAAGGGGTCAGAGAGGGGGAAGAGCAGGTCATTGGGGAGTGGCAACCGTGGCCCTCCACTCCTCCCTCCCCAGAGTGGGGCCCCTCAGAACCCCTGGGTGTCAAAGGTCCCTGGGGGGGCACTGTGTCCTCAGGGGAGGTCAGAGCCCAGTGCTGGACATCACAGGGGCCCCGATGCTCTTGTCCTCCTCCTCACTCAAGTCCCAAAGCCACCTGTCTACAGTCCTAAGGGAACGACAGCAAGAGCTCATCCAGGTAGGACAAATGACAATACCTGGCCATTGGGGTGTCACATGCCTTTTGATGCCATACTCCTCACCACCTCCTCTCTTCTTGACCACCCCTCACTGTGGCTCATTCCTGGGTGCCACTTGTATGATCTGCAGCTACTGCCTTCAGCACCTGACCCCACAGCCTCCAACCCCGGGGCTGTTTCTCCTCCTGGAAAAAGGGAAGAAATTTGCCTGGCACACCAGTGAGGTGAAGGGGGTCCTCCCTCCTCTGCTCAGCTCCAAGAAGCACCCTACTGAACACACTCCCACATCTGTTCTGCTCTCACCTCAAGCCTGTTCTTGTGCATCTTCCAAAGCCTCCAGTTCTGTTCTTGTTTCCTCCCCTCATCATCCCCGCCATACAAATGGCAGTTTCCTACCCCACTGTCCCGGATCTTCCTTCTCAGCAGCAGCAACCGTTCAGAGCTCTACAGGGGACACCTCAGGCCCTCAGAATGGTACTCCTGATCTGCAGTCTGAGCTCACCCATCACACAAAGGAGCTTTTCCTCCCTAAAGTGCCTGTCAGCAAGAGTTGAAACCTCCAAGGACCCCAGAGAATACACTCCCAGTCCTATTATCACAACAGCCAATGTTCTTTCTGTTCCTGACACCCTAGGAACAGCCTGTTTCTTTTTAGATAATAGGTCTTTACACCCATTTTATGATTTAGTTCTTTGAAACACTTGTGAAACATTTTCCAGATAAATGGAGAATGGTTTACACAATGGTTTTGTGTAAATGAAGGATTACTTTAACAACTGTATCAGTTTATGCACACAGGATTCTTAAGACAATCTCTGCTTCAAGATACAATCTACAAAACCCTGTTATCAACAGTGATAAATGCTGCCAGCTTGTTTCTTTTCTTCTGCTGACTCTGAAAACTAGATTTTGGATTAGTCCTTTTTCTTGAAACATAAACACACGTTTATTTTCTTTCCACAATCCATGTATTCTCCAATTCGACCCTTACCTTTGAAAGCAGGAAACATCACTGTCCCTCCCCCAACTGTGCGGAGGATTCAGGCCCATACGCCCCTAACATATATAGATATAGAAACTGCTCTACAGATATAGAAACTGAGGCTCAGGAGAGCCATCGCTTGACTAGCTCTCTAAGCCCATGAACAGCAGAGCTGGGATTTGGACCCAGGCCCATTCTGGCTAGATTTCCACTGCTATAAATGAACCAGGATTTGCGTGTAAATCCCCAGCACAAATGTTGACACATAAATTAGGTCCCAGAGAAATCTGATGTGAAATCATCCCAAATCAATGTTTTTTAGACTGGGGGGTGGGGGTGGGGCTAGGGAGTGGAAGCAAGGGTTCTCACCAAGATGGGAGTGGTAGTGGGTGGTCCCTCAGCTTGAAGATACACCTGTAACACAGGAAGTACTTGGTTAGGATGGAGGAAGAAACAGTCTGTGGCGGGGAGGGGTCCAGAGACCTCAAAACCAGGGCCTCTCAGATCCCCAGGTGTCAAAGGTCCTGGGAGGCACTGCATCCTCAGGGGTGATAGGAGCCCAGTGCTGAACATCATGGGAGGCCCGGTCCCCACTACAACCAGTCTCAAGGCCGATCATCTTCAGGAAAGGAGGCCAAACTAACTGCACTCAAAGACTGGGAAACACAAAATCTATTAGGAAGGTATGAAAACCCCCAACTCTCCCCATGGAGACACACAGGATACACCACCTCCCCAGCGTCACAAGTCCACAGGGGACTGTCCAAACCCACTACATGGAGAAAACCCAGTGTCTATCACCCCCTGCCCAGCTTTACAGATTTTCACCATTCAGCTACCCTTGCTAGTCACCCGAAACAGTGAAAGTGGCTAAAATGCACATCCCTTGGAAGAACCTATTGGGAGATAAAAAGGAGGAGCTATTCTAGGGGAAAAAAACCCCTAGGATATAAGCAGCACATACAACAACCAGGGACCCTTTACTGCAACCGCTGTGGAACAAATCAGCAGAGGAAGACATTTTGGAGAGGACTCCGGCTCTACAAACACAAAGCACACAGGAGACAGCATCATTTTGGAGATAAAGTATTAACGATATTGGGTGAGATTCAAAACGTGCTTTCAACACACACACACAAAGCACAAAGCAAACACGGGACACCTGGGTGGCTGAGCGGTTGTGCGTCTGCCTTAGGCTCAGGGCGTGACCCCGGCGTCTTGGGATCCCCAGTGGGAGCCTGGTTCCCCCTCTGCCCGTGTCTCTCATGAATACATAAATACAATCTTAAGGAAAAAAAAAAAGCAAACATGGCAAAATGTTACAAGTGTGAAACTTCTGGCTAGTTCCTGGCCACGCTTGAGGATTTTAATGATAAAACATGAAAGAGGAATACATCGGACAACTGCGAGAAGGCGCGCCAGGGATGGAGGAGAAAAATCCTTCCCTCGCGACATGCCAATAGTTCGGGTGAAGCCCGCGGTATTCCAGGTGGCTGCCTGAAGGGACAGCAGGCTCCGCCAGACAGAATTTTTGCTGGGTGGTGGTTGGGAGACAGAACACGAGCTAGCTGCCCGGGGGCTGGGCCTTCTCGGCACTCAGGAGACGGGCGTCCGAGACCCCGGGGCCAACTAGCCCAGAGGTAACGTTTCACAGAACTGATGCAGGGAGCGAACACAAACTCTGGTATTTGGAGGGACCGTGTCATCCTGACTCCAGAGGGCAAATGCCCCACTTGCTTTCTCCTAAGGCCACACCCATGTGGTTCTCAGAAACAACCCGGTAATTCATTTCGAGGCTCCGCTCCCCCTTACTCCTTCGAAATCCCGAGATCCCGCCTCTTCCCCCTCCAACACCTTTGTACACCTTTGTTCTAGGTTGCACAGAATGTCAGCCACGTGGAATCGGCAAAAACAGCGACTGCCCGAGGAAAACACATGTAGCCAGCAGAGGCGTGGAAAACCTCAGAAAGCAGAACTCAAGGGTCACACGCGCCCTCCGCCCCTCCCCCATTCCGCCCCCCAAGAAAAAAAGGCCAAGATGGCGGAGCCCTGCGACGTGGGAAGCAGAGATGGCGCAGCCCGGCTGCGGTGCAAAGGCGCTGTGGCCCCGGAGGCCCTGGCGCGCTCCGGCGGCAGGAGGCCTCCCCTCCGTGAAGGCTCCCAAAGGGCCGCCACCGCCCGCTCTGCACAGGACCCCAGGTTGCCTCTGAGGGCGCGCCGGGGTCTCCCAGGGGCCCTAACTCCGTCCCCTGATGGGGGCGGCCCAGACCCCAACGCCCACCCGCACAGACGGAAAGGAGCCAAAAGGCCAAACAAAGCTCACCAGCCCCTCACTCACTCCAAAGCGAGCGCCGGTGGCCTCGAGTCCCGCTTTATAGTGCGCGCCGCTCGCAAGGCCCGCCACACGCGCTCGCCCGGGCTCCGCCCAGAGGCGTCCAGCACGCGCGCCGGGGGCGGACCCCCCCCTTTGGCACTTGGGGAAGCGAATCACGGTTGTTTTCGCTAAAATCTTCCCGAGCGGACCGTCCGATGTTGTCCCTGGAGGCGGACAAAAGGAGTAGTGGGATATCGGGCCCCGTTGTCCTGTCACGGGCATCAGGCAATGCGGAGGACAGCAGCCATGGCGGGCTGGAAAGGGGCAGGACCCCGCATGAGGACCGGGCCAGACCCAGAGGCAACTGGAATTGCCAGCGCGGCAGCCGCGCGAAGGCGGGTGCGAGGGGCGGGGCCGACCCCCACGGAGACCCGGCGCGGGGTGGGGGCGCGGCCAGCGCGGAGATTGACAGGGGGCGTTCCGGGGCCGCGCACGCGTGGTGGAGAATGAGAGGCTGGTCCTGCGCCGGGCGGGGAGGGATCGGTGCCTGGACGCGGGAGCGGGAAAGCTGCGCTCCTGGATCTAGAGGAGTGAGGAGGGGGCTGGGGGCCAGGATTCCCGGGCTGAGTGAGGGCCGGACCCCCTGCTCCCGCTACCCCCCTTCCCTCCCAGTAGTTTAAATGATCTAGAACCTGGGGCTTGGATTCTTGGTAGAGTTGGAGCTCTCTTTATTTTTTATTTTATTTTTTTTAGAGATTTTATTTATTCATGAGAATATTTTTAAGATTTTATTTATTCGTTCTTTTTAGATTTTATTTAGATATTATTTATTTATTCAAATCCCAGCTCATAGGCAAAGGGGGAGGCAGCTGCCTGCGAGGAGCCTGATGCGGGACTTGATCCCAGGACTCAAGCCCTGAGTCACAGGCAGACGCCCAACCACTGAGCCACCCAAGCATCTGGGGTGTTTCATTTTTTATCTTTGGAAAAAAAAAATGCTTACGATCATGTCAGTTTAAAGATACTTTGGTTTGGGACGCCTGAGTGGCTCAGCGGTTGAGCTTCAGCCTCTGGCTGAGAGCCTGATCCTGGGATCTGGTTTGAGTCCCACATCGGGCTCCTTGTAGGGAGCCTGCTTCTCCCTCTGCCTATGTCTCGGCCTCTCTCTGTGTGTGTCTCATGAATAAATAAAATACTTCAAACCCATCCATCAGATCGCCACTGTCGATGTGTAGACTTTTTACTTTATGGCTATACACCCACATACACGTGTTATGGGTAGATGCACTCCTCCCACTCCATTTTGTCCCATAAATAATCCCCCCCCATCAGTGCATGCAGAGTGACCTCATTGCTTAAACAGTGACAAAGCATTCCCTTCTGTGAGTGGGACACACGTTGTTTACCTGGTCTCCCTTGTCATTTGGATTGTTTTCTTACTTCAGGTGAGGAGATGCCTCCCATGAAGCTCATGGTATGAAGTTAAAGGAAGTAACCTATACGCTTCTGGCAAGAAAAGGATACCTTTCCCCTCACTGGCTTTTGCCTCACTCAGAGTAAAGCAAAGCCCTCACTGTGCCCCACAAGACCCAGAGTGACCTGGCCCCTGTTCCTCCTATACCCCTGTCCCCCTCTCCCTTGCTTTGGCTGCACTAGCACATTGGCTTCCCTAGTCTTCTTGGAACGTGCCAAGGAAGGACATTTGTACCTCAGGACCTTTGCACTTGCTGTTCCCTCTGCCAAGAATCCTTTCCTCCAGTCTATCCCCATGGCTCTCCTCTCTTCAGTCATGTGTCTACTCAGATGTCACCTTGGCAGGCAGCTCCCACCCTGTCCCAGACCTGCCTCTCTTCCCCTCCTTTATTTTTCCTCATAGCACTTATCCTTAACATATCTATTTGTTTGTGGGCATATATTTTTGCCTCTCTGGCAAAATGTCAAGCTGTAAAAACAAGGATTTGTGTCTAGGTTGATCCTTGCTGTAGATCCAGTGTCTGCCACATACTTGCAGCTCAATTTCCATTTAAAGATGAACAAATTTGAGAGCCTTTTGTGGGAGAGAAGCAGAAGGATTATTTTAGCAACGCTTTGCTCTTTAGCAAAGAGCACATATGATGGACTAGGTGTTATGTTAAACTCCATCTAGGGGGAACCCTGGGTGGCGCAGCGGTTTAGCACCTGCCTTTGACCCAGGGCATGATCCTGGAGACCAGGGATTGAATCCCACGTCGGGCTCCCGGTGCATGGAGTCTGCTTCTCCCTCTGCCTGTGTCTCTGCCTCTCTCTCTCTCTCTGTGACTATCATAAATAAATAAAAAAAATTAAAAAAAAAAACTCCATCTAGGTTGAGGTACTGTCATCTTCCCCATTTTTACAGTTGAGGAAACAGACCGGATGGTTCAACACCTGGACACAGGTCACAGCACTAATAAGTGGCAGAGCCTAGACTCAACCCCTAGAGTCTAACCACTGTGTGAGATGGAGGTAGAGGGGACCCCCCAAATCGAGACCCTGAGAGGGACCCAGGGAGTGAGATAAACTTGTACTTGAGTTTCAACCTTGTTCTGCTCAACAAATGACTCTTTTTTTTTTTTAAGATTTATTTATTCATTCAGAGAGAGTGAGAGAGAGGCAGAGACACAGGCAGAGGGAGAAGCAGGCCCCATGCAGGAAGCACGATGTGGGACTTGATCCCGGGTCTCCAGGATCACACCCCAGGCTGCAGGCAGCACTAAACCGCTGCGCCACTGGGGCTGCCCAACAAATGACTCTGATAGCAAAAATATGCTACATAGGTAGATGGGGGACACTTGGGTGGCTCAGTGGTTAAGTGTCTGCCTTCAGCTCAGGTTGTGATTCCGGGGTCCTGGGATTGAGTCCTGCAATGGGCTCCCCACATGGAGCCTGCTTCTCCCTCTGCCTATGTCTCTGCCTCTCTCTGTGTGTCTCTCATGAATAAATAAAATCTTAAAAAAAAGGTAGATGGATAAATAATTTTCAAAAAGAATAGCCCTGTGCTGGTGTGGGTGTGTTAGGGGACAAAAGGAGGTGGTGACAGGGGCTGCTGGTCAAGACAGGAGGTAAAGTGTGGGCGCCAGGAGAATTTGCCTTAGAAGGGGCACATTAGGGGCACCTGGGTGGCTTAGTGGTTGAGTGTCTGCCTTCGGCTCAGGTCACGATCCTGGGGTCCTGGGATTGGGTCCCGCTTCTTCCTCTGCCTATGTCTCTGCCTCTCTCTGTCTTTCATGAATAAATAAATAAAATCTTTAGAAAAAAAAGAGGGGGCACATTATTGCAGGTCATGAAATTAAAAGATGAAGCCCTAAAGGCCTGGAGAGAATCAGTTATTCAACAAATGTTGTTTGGCACCACCTGTGTTTTATGCCAGGAACCATCAAATCGGTCTGTTTGTTGGCCATGTATCCTGTAATGTCTTTCTCCTGAGCTACCTCTCTCACCTGTCCCTCAACGCCAGAGGGCCCAAGGAATGGGCCCAGGGAGCGATGGTATTGCCCCAGAACACTTACAAGGTACTGAGCTAAGAGAACATTCTGGGCAAAAAATATAGATTATTTAAACATATTGATTATTAATCTGAGTGGGAGGATCTGGAGGATACTGAAAAAGGTGAGATTCTCAGTTGGGGCAGAGGACTAGAGAGTAGGGTTGTCATGTGCTTGGCAGGAAGCTATGGGAGCAGGCCTGAAGAGGTGTTCTAAGTCCAGATGGCCTGGAGCGCCAGGATGGACCAGAAATTCATGTAGTTCAGATAGGAAAAGAAACCTGGAAAAGGAAGAGAGCAGAGGGGGTGAGAAGTAGAATCACAGCCTGCCTCTGATCCCCATTCCCTCCCAAGTCCAATCATACCCTTACCCCTGTCCCCAATCCATTTCCAAACCCAAACCCAACCGCATTCCCACTTCTGGTCCCATGCCCACCCATCCCCACCCTCATCTCCCTAATCCTGTCTCCCACCTCCATCCTATCTGATCTAGCCATGTCCACAACCCACCCACCCATCCCAAATTCTATCCCACTCAATCCCTGTCTGTATCCCTGAAAACCCATGCCCAAACCCAATCCCATCCCAACCCAGACCAGTCATCAGGAAGAGAAAGACGCTGATCCATGCCAGGTAGAAGCTGCGCCCCAGCCTGTAGGTCATGCCTTCCTGTAGAAATTCATGGGCCTGCATCAGGTAGAACAGGATCCCCAATACAATGCTGGTCCCTGCATGAGTACAGGTGTTAGGAAGTGGGGCATCAGGTGTGTGCAGATCGATGCCCATAGTTGTGTGGCTGCCTGGCTCTTGCTTAGTATTCTCCCACTGTCTTTTGCCTCCCTGTACCTCTGCACACATGCAGGAAAACAGGCTCCTGACAATGTCATGGTAGAGCACATTGGAAGCACAAGTCTGCCTTTCACCCGGCCATGGTGGTGTTAAAACCATAGGCTTTGGGGCCAACAGACCAAAGCTCTTGTCCTGCCTTTCCTTCTTGCTTTAGGGCAACCACTCCTTCTCTCCGAGCCTCATTTCCCTCACTGGTAAAGTGGGCATGACCATAGGGCTCATCTCCTTGGGCTATCATGAGAAGTTGTTGAGATTGGCACATTTCCTGGCACACACTGTAAGCCCACAAGAATTGAGACTGATTATTGCCATTGTATCAGGTCCTTAATTTTGGACTTCTGAAGA